ATAAAGAAATCATGCAGCCTCTGAGCTGGGGTCAGACATCAGCGTTTCTGCCCAGCGGGTTCGTCTCCAAGAGGTTGGTTTTGTTTTCCCAGCCCCGCTGATTCCTGCCTTTTCCCTGCGTTCCCAGGTCTCCTGTTCACCTACGGAGTGACGGGCAGCGGGAAGACCCACACCATGACAGGATCTCCTGGGGACGGGGGGCTCCTGCCCCGCTGCCTGGCCATGATCTTCAACAGCATCGGCCCCTTCCAGGCCAAGAGATTCGTGAGTGGCTCCCCTGAGCCTCCCCGCAGCCCCACATCCGTGGATTTCTGCTCCAAACCTGCCACTGGAGGGCTTGGAAGAGGAAAAAAAAACCAAAAAACCCAATGCCAGGGGGCTCGTTCCAAAAGGATTTGAATTTCTGGGAATGCTTTTAAAGAGTTCAGTGGCTTGGTGCTTATTGCCCAAGCCCATCCTAGGAAAAATCTGTTAAAAACACATGGGAAGGAATCCAGCCAGGAATATTTCAGTACGGATGGCCAAGGTGTTCCCTTCCTCGTTAGGATGAGTGATTAATGAACATATTTAATTAATTAGGCAGTTGTATCCCTCTGAAATTCCCAATCTATTCCTCCTGTTCTAAAAGGTGATTTCAACATGGAAGAAGCCATTCCATAGCTTTTTTTTCCCCTGGAAACAGTGGAAAACACTGCTTTGGTGCCGCATTTTTCCATATTATTCCACTTCATTTCAGTAATTCCCATAAAACCAAAAATTAATTGTCTCCTCATGAAATTAGGGATATTTTTCCAAAGGCGTGCATTTGTGGTGCCTAAAATATACTGAAATAACCCTGGAATTCTCATCCTTGGGAGCTTTTCTAAAACATTATTTTGCAAATTGTTCTTGTGAGATCTTGCTGGGTCAGAGTGCCTTTGAGTGGCATGGTATTCATAAATTAATACCAGCCTAATCAGACTAATTAATTAACCAAATAATGCCTAGTTGGCCAGCACCTGGATGTTGGAATGGGATGAAATTCCTGGTTTTTCCCTCAGGTTTTCAAGCTGGATGACAAGAACGGGGTGGATGTGCAGAGCGAGGTGGAGGCTCTGCTGGAACGCCAGAGGAGAGAGGCGCTGCCCACCCCAAAAACTCCAGCTGGGAAGTGAGTGACTCTGGGAATAGCAGAGGGAATTTATTCCCTAGAAATGGCATTCAAC